CCGCCATTTTGAAAAATCAACCTCAACCCTACATATAGGCTACCGCCTATATAATACAACATCCCTAAGTTTTACCATTGAGCAAAAAAATTAAGATAAGAGGTGTGGTACTGGTTACTGGTAGGATAGCTCCATTTTGGACAACAACATGAGCTTTTAAAATTTTCGGAAGAAAAGGATAGAAGTGGATAGCTGCTATTAAAAGTAAGAATTGGATCCTTTGTAAATAATCAAGGCTCTGTAGTGAAGTTGTATGTAGTCAACCATGACTACCATACTTTGCTTCATAGAGAAGAACACAAAAATTAGGAAGTGAGGGATTGGTATATGAATTCTTACATATTATTTCCTCAAGAGAAAAAGGGGTATCTAGAGCTTCTAATAAGGAATGAGACAGATGATGACATGATTTTGTGAGCAGTTAATGCTGATTAAATGAGGACATATTGAATAATGGGATGTAAGTGTCAACATTATAAATTAAGAAATTACTACACAATGTAAGTACACATATTTGCTTCAAAACAAATTATAAAAATGGAGTTTACTTTTATTATCATTTTTCTAAATTTGCCAAAAGTCCTGTACCTTTGGCCTGATTTTGGGACAACTTTAAAAATTGTTTAAAGAGCCAATTTTGAATTTAATTAAAGCTTTCCACACAGAATTAGTACATCTACATCCACACAGAATTAGTACATCTACATTTATGTGCATCAGAAAATTTAATTATAAACTAGGAGACTTCTTTTATTATTATTTCTGGCCCTGTACTGTAGTACAACTCCTAAAATTAATAATAAAACAGCTGCATAAGCATACACTTACTACGTACAGAAGTAGTGTCAAGGACTAAAATTCAGGATGGCAGATGAAATGTAGAATATGATGACTAACTATTAGATGATAATGATGTATGCTTAAAGTTAATGAAAGCGTGTTAATATTATTTCAGTAGTAAATCTTTAATAGGAGATGAACTCTGAACGTCGAACTCCGGTGCTGACTAAGGTAGACGAAGATTCTCCACCAAGGACACCAACACCGGGAGGAGATAGACTACCACCACCACTTAAAGATAGACCACCGCCATCCCGAGGAACACTTTTACCCCCCGGGAGACATAGGCCTCACTGTGTCGAGGAGAAGCAGACTGTGGTCGAGTTCATGGGGTAGCAGGCCGAGGACAAGGAACTGGAGGTAGAGGAGCAGGAAAAGGTGGTGGTGGTGGTGCAGGAACCAGACCTGAGAGTAGAGGTGCCAGGAGACCAGGGCAAGAAAGAGGAGAGGGAAGACCAGGAAGAGGAAAAGGAAGGCCAGGAAGCATTAGAGGAGCCATGAAAAAAAGGTGGCAGTAGGTCAGCCCTCTCAGGGATGGTTTCATAGGTTTGGAGCCCAAGGAAGTGTAAGGGAAGGAAGAGGAAGGGGAGGGACAAGAAGGGGATCGTGGCAGGGACAGTCACAGCAGCCTGTTAATTCCCAACTTGATAGACTACTAGATATTATAGAGTATATTATCCATAATTGTTAAGAGCACTGAACTATATAAACCTTGACTATAATAGACCTGACTAAATGAATAACACTCCTTATTATACAATAATAAAAAATAATAAGAATAGTTTTAGCACTATACTATAGTGTATTCATGTCCATGCATGGTCCACACCAGTCAGGTGCATTTGTGGGCATCTAGTTGGCATGAATAGTGAATCATGTGGTATCAACTGTGCATTGTCCATTTTGATATTCCAGAGTTCCTTTAGAGTACCTATTATGCATGAATGGTGTAACATTTTTTGTCAAATTCAAACTATTCATTTTTTGGTCTTTCTTTATTCTTTGACATGATTTGAGCAGAGCCTAATCCTTTCTGGTACATCTTTATAGTTTGAATTACAAGAAAAATGATTGCTTCATAAAACTTAGTGCCTAGTTCGTAGGTAAGAGGTAGCCATTTTCCATTGATTGACCACAGCCACTTATGTTAAACTAGCGTGGGCAGCATTTGCTAAGGCGTCATATAAAATGTATTTCTCCAATACAACGTGTATATCAGAAATTATTGTTGACATACAAATATATATTGTATGTTGGGTGAAAACAATCTGAATACAACCTGAGGGCTACACCCCCAGGTCGTAATAAGTAATGTGTGGCAAACAAAATGTTTCTTATCTACTCCCAAGTAAGAGATGCACTATTCCGCGAGGGACTTTCAGAGTTAAAATTGTCCTGCACATCACCACATACAATGCGCGTTAAATTGTCAGACATATGCAAGTAAACTATAGTTAGCCATCATTAATAATAGTAAACATACATGAAGTGTGTGATTAAGGTGTGGTTGTTTAATTCGTGATATTGTTGTTCAGATCTGCTGTTACAAGTGATGGATTTGTTTGTTGAAATTGAAAGTGTTATTAGTGAATGCAGTCAAATTAACCCTTCATCTGCTCAAGTTGTTGACACTATGATAACCAGGATAGAGATTTGTGTGGAAATGATGGATGAATTTGTTGCTGTTGTGTCAAGCTTGCCAATGACTATCAACAGCATCACATATTGCAATACTTGAATTGAGTTGCAGTCTGTTTTTAGCCAGCTTTTGATCTTGTGGCAGACCTGGTTTTTGCAATTAAGTAGCCAACCTCCACAATCAGAAAGACCAAAGGTTTATACAAAATGGTTAGTCCTAGAATTAGGCTAGAAAATACATGGCAGCAGTGTGATGATGACCTCAGGAACTACTTTGTGGCATCAAGCACACAAATTAAGTATAGTAACACAGCATGCTGCTTCAGCATCAATAAGTGATCAGGAACTTGATTCTGTTGTGCAAATGATATATCTTAATATCTCCAGTCACCAAACAATGGTATAGTAATGGTGTGGGGGCAGTAAAGTTTAATTATATTTTCTCCTCCAAGGAGAGTACAAGGGAGTCTACTACATGTTTGCCAAACAGCTGTCCAGAATAGATCTTCACAGTATTTGTCAGCATGTATACCGTGTACCATCTTCTAATGCTCTTTGGCATATTAACGGTTTGAATTGCCTCATCCGATGCAGAATTGTAGTCCATGGCTGCATTGATGGCTACTCTTGGAAAGTGAATTATGTACATGCCTCAGGTAATAATATGACCAATACTGTCCTCAATTTCTTTCTGGAAGCCGCCACTGAACATGTCTTGCCATCCAAAGTGAGATCTGATAAATTTTAACGTTGGAAGAGCTATGTTGACTGTTCTAGGAACTGGGAGAGGAAGTCATATAGCTGGTATATAATCAGTGCATAGAGCGCCTATGGCGTGACACATTTCGCTGTGTGTGCCACATTTTCTATTCACATTTTATGAAATGGAGGAAATGAACTTACTTTCACCAACAAAGGAGTTACAGTTATATGCACTCATTATGTATTCATTCCTGATTAGACAAACAGCTTACGGAATTTAAGTGTTCTTTGAATAGCATCCTCTTACATAAGAGCATGGGTTAACTCCAAATTATCTCAGGTTACAAGGACTGTCAAAGTACAACATTGATTGTGAAATCAACACTGACTATGGTGCTGAAGAAGGTAGACCAAGTCCTGTTGATAAGAGAAGGGCAGAAGTTCCACCAATTTCTATTAGTTTAAGTGCTACTCAGGAACAATTACTCAAAACTCAATCTCAACTACTAGTTAATTCAAATTGTGGTAGATTAGACCATTATATTAATGTCTATGGTTTTTTAAGAAACAATGTGTAAAGTATTGATAATTTTTTTGAATAGTCAAAGAAGAAGGCAAACAAATAAAAGACAAAGTAGAGTCTATTGAAAATCATACTGATCATAGTGAAAAGTGAATTCAGTGCTTAACATACACTTGAAACAATTATTCTTGGCATGTAACACTAAACATTTGTGCTGCAATAATTGCTGTGTCCATTTTTCAAAAAAAAGTCAACAAGAGGTAACTATAGTGGCGGCTTACATGTGGAGGCTGATGGCAACCTCCCTTTATCATAGTCTTTTATAAATTCAATTTCCAGAGGACTAGCAAACCCTAGAGTAGGTATACAATCCAAGGCTGTGACAAAAAATATAATGCTTTATAAATAATTATCTACTGCTTCTTCACCAACTTGGCAACCAGATCCTAAAACATATCACATTTCAGTGCATAGAAGCCGCCCTTCGAATAGTAGCTGCATCCTAATAGTAGCCCCCTCTGTGCTTACATCTATTGTAATAGTAGCTGCCCTCAATTAGAAGCCGCAGCTATTCAAAATTAATTAGTTAATATCAATATGCGATGTGTGCTCAAAATCAAAATGGCTGATCTTGAAGTCAGTCAGCCTGCGATAAAGAAGAAGTATAACTTTGATGCCAGTTTAAAGCTCAAAGTAGTGGAAGTTGCTTTGAAAAACAGTAATAGAGGGGCTGCCAGAAAGTTTGATGTAGACGAACAACAAGTGAGAGAATGGAAAGAGCAAAGAAACAGTTTGACGGAGTGTTCGAGCAAGAAAAAGAGACTGGACGGCGGAGGACAAAAAGTAGCACAACTTGAAATGGAAGAACTTGTATCTTGGATAGACTGTTTGCGAGAACAAAATTTGAGAGTAACTAGAAGCAGTATCCAGGCAAAAGCTCTTGAGTTGTCCCCACAAAGCGAGGAAGAGTTTAGAGCTAGTCGTGGCTGGTTGGAAAAGTTTCTTAGCAGGCATGGATTCTCTTCACAACAGAAAACAACAGTTTCTCAATGACTTCCTGAAGATTTACAGCCTAAAGTAATAAGGTTCATAATGAAGACAAGACAGCTAAGGTTAAGGAAGCAATATCCACGGTCAATGATAGGCATCATGGATGAGACTCCTCTATGGCTAGATATGCCTGGTGAGACTGCTATTACTCATTCCGGTGATAAATCTGTTCGTGTATGTACAACTGGTCATGACAAAGCAAGATTCACAGTTGTTTTATCAGCAATGCCTGATGAAATAAAGCTGAAACCGTATGTAGTATATAAAGGTGTCAGATCTATACCAGAGTTTTCAAAGGAATCTGGAGTTCTCGTTGCTTTGAGCAGAAATTGGTGGATGAATGAGGAACTAACAAAAGACTGCATTTGACGTGGTTGGGGAAATCTTAGTTTTGAAAGACGATTGCTGACCTGGGATGCTTACAAGTGTCACCTAATGCCTAGTGTTTGTTCTGTAGTAGAGCAAACTCAATCTGATATTTCTGTTGTTCCAGGTGGATTAACAAGCCTAATGCAACCAGCTGATTTTAGCCGGAACAAGCCTTTTAATGAAGCTTACAAGGCCCTTTATAATGACTGGCTATTAAATGGGGAGAAGATTTACACTAACGTTGGATATATTCATGCTCCTTCAAAGCTGATGTGTCTAAAGTTGGTAAAGCAAGCTTAGGAGTCCATGACACCAGATGTCGTCAAGAGACGTTTTGAAGCCAGTGGCATTTCTGTAGCTATTGATGACAACAAAATCCATTGTCTCAAAGATGGTCAGGTAGCAGCAGTAGCACGTACAGATATTTCTGAGAAAACTTCAGCTCTTTTCAGACCAGTAGACATCAATGAAGATACTAAAGATCCATTTGCTGATATAATTGAAGGTCATGAAGAGTTAGATACGAATGAAATAGCAGTTGACAACTGTTAGCTAGCTAACTATACAAATTACTGACATTTAATCATTTATTGAGTTCCAGAGGGAATTTCTTTACATTATATAAGTATCACTTATGATAATTATTATATATACAGGTAAATCACTTATCGGAATAAAATCAAACACTTTCGTCAATTTTTTCAGTCTCTTGATATAACTTGGTTTTACTTCAGCTGTGTAGATACAGGGAACCTCCAAACCCACACCTTTCTTTCTTTTACCAGTTATTTCGCAACTAATAGAGCTCCAGGAGTTCCTAGAAAGAACTTGATTGTTTTTGAAAGGTCACGCGGGGCATGACCGACAATGCAATTATCTTTTAGTACACTGACTGCATGTGAATCATGCTCATTGTCATTCTCTGGCAAGACCTCTACTTCTCCTATAACTGGGCTCCATATTGCCTTGTAGACATAGTGGCCTCTAACAACACTCAATTTCCATCTCTTCCAAAGGGATTTCTGCCATGTTTCTGCTGAATCTGCTCAATTGTGTATGTACATGGTGACTGGTTTGTGTGCATGTGATGGGCGCAGTCACGTGCAGGCATAGCCGGCCACGTGTTTGCTAAAAGAGAAATAGTAGCCGCCCTCTAATAGTGGCCGCCCTCCAATAGTGGCCCTGTCTTGAATTAGCTGAAACTTATAGTAGCCGCGGCTTCTATTCGAGGACATACGGTACATATTAATCAATCACATGTAGACAACAACTTCATACCTGCACATTGGTGTACAAAATTTGTCCAACAATAAATGATTGCATCTTCAAATTCCCTTGTGTTACTCCCATCTTGTCACCACTTAATAGTAAATGTCTTACAGAATGTCGTTGCTTTCATACATGGTTTCTTAGAGTACACGAACAATGGTTTCATTAGAATAGGATATTGCTGAAGCAGTTCAAGAATTCCTAAATTCTTCAAGCCATTTTTGAACTGATCTAACTCCTTTTGCCATAAAGTATCAGATAGTTGTTGACAAATGCAAGTATTAATTCTTCCTTTCTTTTATTTTTACAGCAGAGATTGAAATCGTGACACCAGCATCAAAACGAAAGTCGAATTATAACGAGTCAAAAAGACCTCGTAATTCTTCACTAGAACTTACATCTAGCAACTATTGAAATGTTCATTACATTAATTTAAATGTTTTACGTAATAAAATTATGCTATCTTTTATGAAGAGATGACTATGATGCTATCTTTTATGAACAGATGACTGTATGTCAGCATTTGGAATATCTTCAATCATCATTGTGTCTATAAATGCTCATCTAATAAGTAAGCAACATCTGACTTAGAAAATATTGGGTGCTAGAGGTGGGCGATATGATACAAAAGTACTCATATATCTGATACCAGACTTCCGACAACCAAGTACTCGATACCAAATTCTGGTATCAAGTATTGTGACCACACCTACTTATATGACGTCACCGGATACACTTAAATTGCGCAATAATTATAATGAATAAAGTTTTGAAATTTCAACAATAATTATTTTTATTCTTAATTAAGGAAGGTATGAAAAGTTATGCAGGAATTTTCTTTAATATTTAAAGTTCAATGATTTGTAACTTCTGAACAGTGCATGGTAAAAATTTTAAAATAGCACAAGTTGTACAACTTTTTCTTTACTATAAAATGGCAGCAATAAAAAAATATATTAAAATTTCATCCAAAAGTACCTTAACAATTATAGCATTGACAACAGATATATGCAGTTCTTGCAAAGGTCTTTCATACTGCTGTTTTACAGCACAAGCTATTGCTGACAACTGGACGTTGGAGAACTATGTACTGGAGACGTTCAACTTCAATACTGAGAATACAGGGCTACATACATCAACAGAGTTAACCAGATTTGTTAGTGATAAGGGATCTCCAGAGATATGATGCTGTGTGACTGACAATGCTTCTAATATGAACTGTGGAATAGAATTGACTGGATGGAATCACTTGCCATACTTCGCCCATACTCTAAATCTCGTTCATAATTCTCTTGGTGCAGAATGTGGGCTGTCAGTGATAAAAGGGAAATGTAAAGCTATTTTTGCTCACCTTCACAGGAGTACTATGTCATCAGAAAAACTCAGGAGTACTCAACAACAGCTAAACATGCCAGCTCATCCAAGATGTAGAAACCAGGTGGAATTCTACATACTTGATGTTTGAGAGAATTTTATCTGAACATGAGGCAGTCACAACAACACTTAGTCTC